TTTAAAATGCATCTCTGGGTGATTTGTGGGGCATAGGAATTCCCCCCTTTTTTCCCTTCAAAATATACCGTATTTTGCGCCCCATAAGACGCTCCGGCCCATAAGACGCACCTAGTTTTTTGGGGGGGAAATAAAGAAAAAAATTTTTATTTCCCCCCCCAGGTGCGGGGCTGGAAGAACCAGGTCGGGGAACAGTGGGAAGGCACGCTCTGCCTCCCCGCTGTCCCCCGAGCTTGTGGGGCTGGCGATGGGGAGAAGTGCACCAGTCCCGGGAGGGCAGGCAGCTCTGTGCCGCCATCCCGAGCGGGGCGGGACTTAGCGCCCCGCTCGGGATGGCGGCGCAGAGCTGCGCTGGTCCCAGGACCGCAGGCAGCTCTGCAGGGCCACCGGGAGCGGGGCGGAGCTTCTCCCCCGGCTCCCGGTGGCCGGGCAGAGCTGCGCTGGTCCCGGGATTGCAGGCAGCTCTGCGCAACCCTCGGAGCCGGTCTCCCGAGGGTTGCGCAGAGCTTCCTGAAGCCTGGAGAGCGAGAGGGGTCGGTACGCACCGACCCCCCTCGCTCTCCAGGCTTCAGCGAAAGCCTGCATTCGCCCCATAAGACGCAGGCACATTTCCCCTTCATTTTTGGAGGGGAAAAAGTGCGTCTTATGGGGCGAAAAATACGGTAGTTCGGCCCCCCACTAGGTCTGAGGGACAGTGGACCAGTCATCCTGCTGAAAAAGTTTGCTGACCCCTGAGATAGTTTATGAGAGGTTCCCATTCTTTTTAAAAAAATCACTAGTGTCTTTTTCATGGCACTTATCCATTAGCTTTGCTGATGTCCTTTTTCAACAACAAATTGTCACTGTTTTGTTGTTGTTGTTGAATATATGCTATATGATCCTTTTGAATTATCCATTCTGAAGGAAATCAGCCCTGAGTGCTCACTGGAAGGACAGGTCCTGAAGCTGAGACTCCAATATTTTGGCCACCTCATGAGAAGAGAAGACTCCCTGGAAAAGACCCTGATGTTGGGAAAGATGGAGGGCACAAGGAGAAGGGGACGACAGAGGACAATATGGTTGGACAATGTTTTCGAAGCTACCAGCAAGAGTTTGACCAAACTGCAGGAGGCAGTGGAAGACAGAAGTGCCTGGCGTGGTCTGGTCCACGGGGTCACAAAGAGTCGGACATGACTAAAACAGCAACAATATGCTATATGGTAATTTATGGACCTAAGAGGTATCTAAAGCCATTTGCACATAACAAAATATGGATTTCATCAAATTGTTGAACTGAAATACAATTAAGAAGAAGTATATTATTAGTGAAATGGGGGTGGGGAGAGAGTGGAGCCCTAAGCTATAGCTTGTTAACTTATATGTAAATCCGGCACCCACACTGCTATGTAACCTCCCAGTATTTTTACCAGGCTCCACAGAGACGGAGATCTTTGATGAATTTCTGTTGCCGTTGGAACAGTAGAAAGTGCCCGAGTCGTTCATGCTTTTGAGGACGAGGACCAAGTTCCTCTCTCCCTTTTCTCCCTGCTTTTCTGCTCGCGATTGAAACCGCCCCAGCAGCACCTGGTCTTCTCCAACAGAACTTGTAGAGAATATTTCCTGCTTGCCTCCATGGCTGAAGCCAACACAGATGGGGTACTGCGGAATCCAGTACCAAGTCAGTTTGGGCCCCTGAAGTTGGCAGGGAATTTTGACCTCTTCTCCAGCCTCCACTGAAAGCACTGGATTAGCTAAGGTGTCTCCTGCCTCGAAGTTTCCTCGCCCCTTCCTGGGAAGGGTTTGCTGCTTACCCCTGCGAGCGTCTGTCATCGAAACAGCCAGGGCAGTAGCGGCCAGAATTAAGAAAGGAAAGGGCTTCATGGGGGAAAGCGGAGAGGGGGGTTCTCCAACCGTGCCTTTCCGCAGCAGGGCAGCTTCTGCTTCTCAAGAGGAACTGTGGCAAGAACGTGCAAGAGGGAGGCCACAAAACTCGACAGCAGAGGGGAATGAGAAAGAGGAAGGGCAGGACGGTGCTCTATGAGGAAACAGGACTCTAGGCTGCCAAAACAGACTGTGAGTGGATAGTGCAATTATACTGTTTGGCCACTAGGTGGCTCTGGATAAAATTGTATCTAGACCTGAGTCCAGGGCTTCTTGTGTCTGTTTTGTTCTTTTAGGAGAGGGGTGATCAAAATTCCTGAGTTGTATGTCCTCTTAAGTCTTCCATGATAGCGGCTGGGTGTGTTTGTTTAAAAATGTTTTAAGATGACAACAACAACAACAACAACAACAACAATAATAATAATTTATTTATACATACCCCGCCCAGCCACTCTGGGCAGCTCCCAACAGAATTAAAAGCGCAATAGAACATCACACAGAACATTGAATTCTGGTGCTGGAGGAGACTCTTGAGAGTCCCATGGACTGCAAGAAGATCAAACCTCTCCATTCTGAAGGAAATCAGCCCTGGGTGCTCACTGGAAGGACAGATCCTGAAGCTGAGGCTCCAAGACTTTGGCCACCTCGTGAGAAGAGAAGACTCCCTGGAAAAGACCCTGATGCTGGGAAAGATGGAGGGCACAAGGAGAAGGGGACGACAGAGGACGAGATGGTTGGACAGTGTTCTCGAAGCTACCAGCATGAGTTTGACCAAACTGCGGGAGGCAGTGGAAGACAGAAGTGCCTGGCGTGCTCTGGTCCATGGGGTCACGAAGAGTCGGACATGACTAAACGACTAAACAACAACAACAAGAAGACTTTAAAATTCTTATCACAGTATCTATTTGCAGTGTGTGTGTGTGTGTGTGTGTGTGTGTGTCCATAGCTTTCACCAGATTCTCAAAGGAGTCCATGACCCAAAACATGTTAAGAAGCACTGCTTTCGAGGGAGGAAAATCTCCCTTCTTGTTGCTGTTATTAGATGCTTGGGATTCAGGGACTCAGGCTGTCTGGTTACAGCATCTCCTCTAGAAGTTCACCTTCCGCCCACAACTAACTCATTGCTGACCACAATATATTACCACAATGGGGGTTTCTTGACTCCCTTTAAGATTTTCTTTCCATGTGGTCGAGAGTTTCCTCCCCGTCCCCCAGCTCAACACAGAACGTAGGCATGTGTGTTTCAGCAGGGCCTGGAAATTTGCAGTTGTCCTGGGGCGGGGAGTCCCTCTGGTCGACAAGTAGGTCATACGATGATGACAGCAAACGTGGCAACAGATGGGGGACGAAAGATCACCTGAAATTTACCACCGAAGCTTCCTTTTCTCACTTCCTGCTTCTGCTTTTCTGACCTGAGGGACTTTCCCCACCTTCCTCCTTCTCGATCCTGGAGATATTTATATTTTACCCGGTTCACAGCTGGCCCGGGCAGGTGAGGGGGTGAGTAAACTTAAGGTTGCCAACTGAGGGCTTACACCTCCCTTTTCTAATACAGTCTGGCAAGTATCTGTTCAGCTGAGCACACTATCAATATGCGTAAGAGATTAAGGAACTGAGTATTTACCATCACAAAAGAATGGCCAGACTGCCCAGAAAGTGCAATCAGTGACCATTATCAGGTATCTGGCAGACAGAATTTCTGCTGTAGACCGCCTCCTCTGCTATTGACCGCCTCCTTCTGTGATGAATGTATGATGTTTCAAGGGGGTGGTCTTGAGCTACAGGGTGGGCAATTTCAAAAGTCTGTATAAGAGCTTGCACACCAATGTTCTGGGTTCCTCCTCCCTCCTGCGTGGGGTGTGGGGTGAGCACCCTGTTGCAACAGTTTAATAAAGATCAGGCTTACTAGCCGCTTTGCTTCTCAATATTTTCTGGTTGGCCTCTGTTATTTTCTCCGACCAATAGAGAACCTACATAAGGACTCTATACATGCTCTTGGGAAAAGGAGCAGTTTTTTGGGGGACAGGAGGCAGGCAGGTGTGGGGGACTCCCTGGTCCTGAATGGGGTAACTGTGCCCCTGAAGGACCAGGCGGCAGCCTGGGAGTCATTCTGGACTCACAGCTGTCCATGGAGGCGCAGGTCAATTCTGTGTCCAGGGCGGCTGTCTACCAGCTCCATCTGGTACGCAGGCTGAGACCCTACCTGCCCATGGACTGTCTCGCAAGAGTGGTGCATGCTCTGGTTATCTCTCGCTTGGACTACTCCAATGCGCTCTATGTGGGGCTACCTTTGAAGGTGACCTGGAAACTACAACTAATCCAGAATGCAGCAGCTAGACTGGTGACTGGGAGCGGCCGCCGAGACCATATACCACCGGTCTTGAAAGACCTACACTGGCTCCCAGTACGTTTCCGAGCACAATTCAAAGTGTTGGTGCTGACCTTTAAAGCCCTAAACGGCCTTGGCCCAGTATACCTGAAGGAGTGTCTCCACCCCCATCGTTCTGCCCGGAAACTGAGGTTCAGCGCTGAGGGCCTTCTTGCGGTTCAATCACTGTGAGAAGTCAAGTTACAGGGATCCAGGCAGAGGGCCTTCTCGGTAGTGGCACGCGCCCTGTGGAACGCCCTCCCACCAGATGTCAAAGAGAAAAACAACTACCTGACTTTTAGAAGACATCTGAAGGCAGCCCTGTTTAGGGGAGCTTTTAATGATTAATAGACTATTGTATTTTAATATTCTGTTGAAAGCCGCCCAGAGTGGCTGGGGAAACCCAGCCAGATGGGCGGGGTATAAATAATATATTATTATGATTATTATGATTATGATTATGCGTTAGTTGCAGGGGTTGGAATAGATGACCTCGCAGGGTCCCTTCCAACTCTGTGATTCTGCAATTCGGCATGCAACGCATGTGGCTTTCCCCCAACAAGTTACCACCCTTCTGAAGCTGGCCGAGCAAGTTAAATCGAAAGCCCTCTTTGTTTTCAGTTCTGATTTTGATTTGGCACGATGACTTACCTTGGACTTCCTCCCCGGCTCTGGGATTCCCCCACCCAGCGGCTGTGACGGCCTCCGCGGCCAACCAATCAGCTTTCCCTGCCCACTCTGCTTGGGTACATCCAAGGGAAGGGGAAAACTTCGTCCTGCTTTCAGATGGGAAGCCAGAAAGCTTCAGAAAGAGAGAGGCACATGACGGGCACCTTCAGGACCCAGGAAGACAATGAGGTACATGGTTGGTGGCAGGAGGGGAAGGCGACATACAACATTGTTTTCAGGGCTGGAGGGTGGATGGATTTCAGCAGGGGTGACTTTTCAGTCGAGAGAAAAGGCAAGCAACATGTGACATTCTAGCAGCCTTTCTCAAACTGTGGGTCCCCAGATGTTCTTGAACTACAACTCCCGAATTTTCAATATGGCTTTGCAAGTATCCTTTAAACACCTTCCAGAACTCAGAACTCCTTTTGGAATAAACAAGTTCCGTTTTAAATACTGAAATACTAAGTAAGACGGATAACAATGTGTAACAGAAAAAGAAGCGTGAAATTAGGTTAAAGGTGTGTGAAAGAAAGCAATAGAAGTGGAAAGAAATGGCAATTGAGTAGATTGGAAGTCTAACACAAAGGTGGGGTGAGGGGCGGTGGATGGTGATGGGAAAAGGAATTATCTGTGAAATAGAAATAAAAAAAATAAAAAAGAACTACAACTCCCATCACCCTTAGCTAGCAAGGCCAGAGCTCAGGGATGATGGGAGTTGTAGTCCAACAACATCTGGGGACCCACAGGTTGATAACCGCTGTAGAGGTTTCTAGCATTGTGTAAGCATAGAGAGTTTTTTCCCCCTCCCTCTCTCCCGACGCTAGACCTCGTGAACGTCCGATGAGGCTGAAGGTTCGAAGATTCGGGACAGAAAAAAGAAAACTCTTTTTTCATGGGTCACATAGTCGGAACTACGGAACTCACCGCCACAAGAAGCAGCGATGGCCGCCAATTTGGACGGCTTTAAAAGAAGACTGGGTGAATTCATGGAGGATACGTCTATTTGTGGCTAATAGCCACAATGGCCAATGGTCTCTCTTCATGCTCGGTGGCAGTCAGGTTTCTGTTGGAAGCCATGGCGAGGGAGAAGGCTCTTGTGCTTGAATCCCACTTGCGGGTTTCCCCAGATAGCTCAGCCAGTAGAACAAGAGGCTCTTAATCTCTGGGTTGTGGGTTTGAGCCCAGTGTTGGGGAAAAGATTTCTGCACTGTAGGGGGTTGGACTAGATCATGGGTAGGCAAACTAAGGCCCGGGGGCCGGATCTGGCCCAATTGCCTTCTAAATCTGGCCTGGGGGCAGTCCGGGAATCAGCATGTTTTTATAAGAGTAGAATGTGTCCTTTTATTTAAAATGCATCTCTGGGTTATTTGAGGGGCAAAGGAATTCATTCATTATTTCCCCCCAAAATATAGTCCGGCCCCCCACAAGGTCTGAGGGACGGTGCACCGGCCCCCTGCTGAAAAAGTTTGCTATAATATACTAGTCACTAGAGGACCCCTGGGGTCCCTTCAAACCCAGCAATTCTACTCTTCTCTTATTTTATCTGGTTGGCCACTGTGAGAAGAAGGATGCTGGAGCAAAGGGGTCTTTGGCCTGATCCAGTGTTCTTATGTTCTTGATGGGAAGGGGGGGTGGGAAGGCAGGAGTTCTTAGCTGCCTGTGTCTTAGGGAAGCCTGGGCAACTGGTCCATCAACTCAGCATTTTCTGCTGCATTAGTGGTTCTCTGGGGTTTTCAGCGGCAGTCTCTCCCAGCCCTACTGGGACATAGAATCGCAGAATTGTAGAGTTGGAAGCAACCCTGAAGATCATTTAGTCCAACCCCCTGCAAGACAGGAATACAGTGGTACCTCGGGTTAAGTACTTAATTCGTTCCGAAGGTCCGTTCTTAACCTGAAGCTGTTCTTAACCTGAGGCACCACTTTAGCTAATGGGGCCTCCCGCTGCTGCTGCGCCGCCGGAGCACGATTTCTGTTCTCATCCTGAAACAAAGTTCTTAACCTGAGGTAATATTTCTGGGTTAGAGGAGTCTGTAACCTGAAGCGTATGTAACCCGAGGTACCACTGTAATAATAACAACAACAACAACAACAACAACAAACAACAAGAACAATTTATTATTTATATGCTGCCCATCTGGCTGCGTTTCCCCAGCCTCTCTGGGCGGCTCCCAACAGAGTATTAAAAACATGATAAAAAATATGATAAATGTACGACTTTCCCCTATGAGGATCAAACCTGCAACCTTGGCCTTATCAGCGCCATGCTGAGCTGCCTGTGGCAGATTTCAGGAATAGAACCTGCATGCAAAGGACATGATCTACCAGTAATAACAAACAAACAAACAAACAAACAAACAAACAATAATAATTTATTTATACCCTGCCCATCTGGCTGAGTTTTCCCAGCCACTCAGGGCGGCTCCCAATCAAATGTTAAAAACAGTACAGCATTAAATATTAAAAACTTCCCTAAACAGGGCTGCCTACCAGTGACCTACTGCCCCTCAAAGGTCCAAGAGACTGCCTTCGGTGGCATGGCTCAGCTGTGGGATAAAGAGGGGGCATGGTTCGAGGACCCACGATGACAGCCACATTGCTTAGTCCCCCCCCAAAAAAAACCCCACGTAAAATGCTTTGTGCGCCGCCCGGGAATCGAACCCGGGTCGCAAGAATGGGAATCTTGCATGATACCACTACACCAGCAGCGCTGATGACAGCTGCCTCCCTGAAGCTTAAAGGGGTTTGTGTCCGGTCAGAGCCTGGATGGGGAGACTGCCTGGGAAACTCATGCATACAGCCTTGAATTTTATGATGGTAAAAGGCAGGACATAAATGTGCGAAAGAAAAAGAAAATGGCTTTGGAGCACCTGCAGTTATGTCCTTCGCTTTCCTTTCCTCCTAAAATATCCACATCTAAGCCAGAATTTACAGGTACAGTGGTACCTCGGGTTAAGAACATAATTTGTTCCGGAGGTCCATTCTTAACCTGAAACTGTTCTTAACCTGAGGTACCACTTTAGTTAATGGGTCCTCCTGCTGCCGCCATGCGATTTCTGTTCTCATCCTGAGGTAAAGTTCTTAACCCGAGGTACTATTTCTGGGTTAGCAGAGTCTGTAACCTAAAGCGTATGTAACCTGAAGCGTCTGTAACCCAAGGTACCATTGTACAGCTTTTCGGTGAGGGCACGACCGCAGGATCAGCTCTGTCCCTCCCTCCTCCTTCTCCAAAACTAAATTTGGGACGGATTGCAATTGATGAGACCTGTCCCACCAACAAGAGCTCAAAACACTTTAAAATCCCTTGGATGAAGGGCTAAAAGAACTCCCAGTGGCTACACGGTGGCAAAGAGAAAATACTTTGCACATGCTCAAAGGAATGCCGTCGATTGTTCAAATCCTCGTGTGACAAGACTGCAGCTGGAAACCGTGGTCCGGGGTGAAGCTAGGAGTTGAACTAAGTGTGGGAGGGGGGCAAGTTTCAACCCCAGCATTTCCACAACACGTAGGGCTGGGGATTCCCAGAGTGGTTTAACGCTCAATTCCTCTTCACGGGAAGCTCTGGGAATGGGAGAGGAATAGAGGTCTCCTAATTCAAAGCACCTTTGACAAACGACAGCTCCCAGAATTCCTGTGGGGAGGGCAGAGCTGTTTGATGGATTTTTTAACTTGGGTGGGTGCTGTTTTATTTGGAGACCGGGGTTGTTTTAAATTGTAAAACATTATATGTGAGTTGGATTTTTGTATTTGTAGGCTGGAGTATTGTTTAGGGGCTTTTGTTGGGGAGTGTATTGTTTATTAGTGTGTATACATTTTCCCTGGAAAAGACCCTGATGTTGGGAAAGATGGAGGGCACAAGGAGAAGGGGACGACAGAGGACTAGATGGTTGGACAGTGTTCTCGAAGCTACAAACATGAGTTTGACCAAACTGCGGGAGGCAGTGGAAGACAGGAGTGCCTGGCGTGCTCTGGTCCATGGGGTCACGAAGAGTCGGACACGACTAAACGACTAAAAACAACAAACAAAACAAAAAAATACATGAGTACAGTGTTACCTTGGGTTACAGACGCTTCAGGTTACAGACTCTGCTAACTAAGAAAAAGTACATCGGGTTAAGAACTTTGCTTCAGGATGAGAACAGAAATCACACGGTAGCAGCAGAAGACCCCATTAGCTAAAGTGGTACCTCAGGTTAAGAACAGTTTCAGGTTAAGAACGGACCTCCAGAACGAATTACGGACCTCCAGAACGAATTAAGTTCTTAACCCGAGGTACCACTGTACGGTTACTTGTTTGGATTATTTTGATTGTGCTTGGATTATTCTGATTATGTACAGGGTGAGTCCTTTAAAAGAGGCCCCATGGATACACAGTGCACATGTTCCACGGGACTTCTTTTAAAAGACTCACCCTGTATTTTGTGCTTTTATTATTTTGATTATGCATTTTGTGCTTTTGTTATTTTGTTTGTGTATTTTGTGCTTCGTATATTGTAACTTTGACCTACGGGTATAGGATGGCATACAAATCAATAACAACAAAAGCAATAATAATAATTAACAGAAGTGGCATCATGGCACTTTAAATGTATGGTCGTAAACGTGGTCCAAGCGACTCTCCCCCTTCCCACTCTGGAAAATGCCTCTGTGCCATTCTCAGCTTGCACGAGGTCCTTCCTTCTTCCTGAAAGCTGGGGAATTACATTTTGCCGCTGCCTCCATCCATCCAGCCACCCACTGCTTCCCCTCCCCTGCACATCTCAGAAGTGGGGTTCCCCTGGGGCTCTCTCCCCCCTGACCACAGAAAAAAAAATTCCCTGACACTTGATGTCATCCGGTGACGAAGCTGAGTGGAATAAACGTTGGCTGGGTCTGGGGGAGAAACTGTGATCTCCTCGCATGACTGGCAGGAATGTTGGGGGAAACCCAGAATGTTTGAACTGCAGCCTGAGTAACTAAATACATGGGGGAATCCAAAGCGGGGGTCCCAGGCACAATAGGGAGGGGATGCAAAATGGCTGTAATCATGTGCAGAGGGTCTACCCTATACTGCGCTTGTGGCAGTTAAAAACCTCTGGCAGCGGCTGAACGGCAAGGAATCTGGCAACACGGCCAGCAGTCCAACTCCATTGATAGATAAAACTTTATGCGCATTAGCCAATGGCCATAGCAACAGTCAAACATTACTGTATATGCAGAAAAGGAAATTTGATATAAAAGCACAATTAAAGTCCTGAATCGGCTGTCAGTTAGTGGCCCTTATTCTGATTGCCCCGGCTACAAACCTAGCAACCTTTGCTGTTATCTGCTCATTTTGATCTGCTAGAAGAAAGGACATTGTGGCAGTGGTTGAGCGCCCTGGGATGGTTAGTACAAGTGGGGGTGATGATCTCGTTCCTCAGGTCTTTGTAGAGAGTACAGGACAGGAGGACATGTGCCGCTGTTTCGGTGCTACCATCTCCACAGGGGCAAAGACGTTTCTCAGGCGGGATCTTTTGGAAACGACCCTCATGTACCACAGATGGCAAAACATCCAGTCTTGCAAGTGTAAAAGCACGTCTGTATTTTGGGACAAGAAGTTTGTGCAGATATGGGGCCAGAGAATCAAAACGGAGAGGTGGAAAATGAACATACCAAGGGCAGAATTTCCTTATAGTGGCCAGGTTGTTCTGATGCTCGATATCTTTTACACGTTGACCAGTTAGACTGTTTGCTTTAGTAGGGCCCATGGTGAGTAGGTGTTGTGGGGATAGGGCACAAGAGTTTTTGATAGACGGTTTTAAGCCAGGCACTTTTATGAGAGTCTTGAAGTACCAGGGATAGTAAACCGGGGGGGGGGGGGGATTTGAGTTTAGGCGGAGCCAGAAGTTAAGAGTTCTTTGCCAAGTCCGTACTTCTACAGAAGGGAGACTTGCCTCCAGTCTCAATGATGCGTTTGTGACGCATGGCGGTACAGAAAAAATCTGCCTTAGAAACTTTGATTGAGCAGCTTCCAAAGTGCTAAGGTGGTCCAAATCTGAGCCCCATATAGTAGCTGTGCTAGGGGTTTAGCTTGGAAGACTTCTAGGGCTTAAATATATCCACCTCAAGGGGCAGTAAAGAGAAAGGCAAAGTAGGAACAATCAAAGCAAAGCCCCAGTCTATATCTGAGAAGGAAACCTCAAACCAGTTCTGAAACAAACATAACAATGGAAGTAACTTCCCAGAGCCCTGGAAAGATATCAACTGTCAACACGGGTAGTAGAGAGGTGGTGACGCATAATATCGATGGGAACATACTACAGGTCCGGCAATTTTCGATCCAGAAAAAAGGCTGGAGCCTAACTCCACTGAGGGAAGTGCAGGTTGTCCCCTTCTTCCCTGGCAGAGAGGTGGGACGCCATTTTTTGATTCACCTCAGGCGACAGAATGTCTTGGGCTGGCCCTGCCGCCACCGCACCAGTTGCTGATGCAGGCCAGGCCTGGCCAATGGCCACGAGAGCTAAGTGGAGCCTCCGAGGCACCATACTGTCAGACAATAAGAGATGGGCATATTCTTCCTGTCTTGCTCAAAGTATCAGGTTGGCCATTGTGAGAAGCAGGATATTGGACTATGTAGGCCTGAGCTGGTGGGAGTGGTCTTGACCTTTCTTTTCTTTACTTTCTCGCCTTGCAGCTGTGAAATGTCCTCACCGGAATGCCTGAAGGAGAAAGGAATTGAGCTCCTCACCCATTTTGACAAGGTGGGTCTTAAGGAGATGATAGATGATAGGTAGGTAGGTAGGTAGGTAGGTAGGTAGGTAGGTAGAAGAAGACAAAGAGTTTGGATTTGATATCCCACTTTATCACTACCCCTTGAAGGAGTCTCAAAGCAGCTAACATTCTCCTTTCCCTTCCTCCCCCACAACAAACACTCTGTGGGGCTGAGAGACTTCAGAGAAGTGTGACTAGCCCAAGGTCACCCAGCAGCTGCATATGGAGGAGCGGGGATGTGAACCCGGTTCACCAGATTACGAGTCTACCGCTCTTAACCACTACACTACACCACACTGGCTGTAGGTAGGTGCAGGTGTAGGTGGGTCCCCACGAGACAAGACACAGTGATAACAGCAAGAACCTTTATTGAACAAACAGAACTGGACAACAGGGGCAAAGCAACTGCTTATAGACATTTCTGAAGTCCTTGGCCACTCCCACTCCCAACGTGATTGGCTGACCAAACTTCCAAGCTGCAAATCATAAGTCAGAGTTTAAGGGCCAGAGGCAGAGACCCAAATCCTGAAATGTTCTGTGATTGGATATCATGTATTGAATCAGAACACAGTGGCTCAGAATCCATAGTCCAGACTCAAGCTCAGGCAAACACAAACCACTGAATACATAACAGATAGATAGATAGATAGATGATAGATAGATAGATAGATAGATAGATAGATAGATAGATGATAGACACACATCTCCTCCCTGCGAACACAAATGAATGGCTGTAGGCAGTGGCGGAGGAACCCTCTCCGGCACCTGAGACAGGGCAGACCGTATGGAGTGCGCATGTGCAGCATCCCGGACGGTCGCCGTGCAAGAGGCAGCCAGTATGGATGGTGCGCAAGTGGCGCCCATGGCTGCTCTACAGCTGGGGAGAAGCAGGAGCCATCTTGTCACTAATGAGGGTGTGGGAGAGATATAAAGATCTAATAGAACAAAAAACACCTTGGTGGTTATCACCAATTGAAGCTTCATTACTCAAACCGCTTGGCAAAAAAGGGAAGTGGCCTACCTATAGAAATTAAATTAAAAGATTATGAGGAAATAAAAGATCGTTTTCAGAGTTGGTTACACTATAGACAATTACATGAGATGTACAAGGAAGACAACAAGAAAGGGTTTAGTTATACAACTTCTAGATTTCAAAAGGAAGTTATAGAAGAAGTGAAGCTGCTGAAGAAAGTGGTACAGAGGTACAGTGGTACCTCGGGTTACAGACGCTTCAGGTTACAGACTCCGCTAACCCAGAAATAGTACCTCAGGTTAAGAACTTTGCTTCAGAATGAGAACAGAAATCGTGCGGTGGCGGCACGGCAGCAGCAGGAGGCCCCCATTAGCTAAAGTTCTCAGGTTAAGAATAGTTTCAGGTTAAGAACAGACCTCCAGAATGAGTTAAGTTCTTAACCCGAGGTACCACTGTAGTATCTTGCTAGAATGGGAAACAAAAGATGAGGAGGTCAAATCGGTCATGATTAAATAGGCACAAGATATAGGACATAATATACAATTTGAGGAATGGGAAAAACTGTGGAAAATAGTTTTTAAATTTACAGACTATTCTCTTTTGAAAGAAAACTATCGGTATATGTATAAAACCACGTCAAACACATGCTGGAAATGTAAAGAAAAAGAAGGGACTTTTTATCATATGTGGTGGGAATGCAGAGAAGTTATTTTTGGGAAATGATATATAATGAATTGGGGGGGGGAGTTTAAATTGACATTTGTAAAAAAAACCAGAAGCATTTTTGTTAGGGATTGTAGGACAAGACCTGCCAAGAAAAAGAAAGAACTTATTTACAATAGCGGCAAGAATCTTGTTAGCACAAGGATGGAAGAATGAGGAAATCCCAACGAAAAAACAGTGGCAAGAAAAATTGATGAGTTATGCGGAATTGGCCAAACTGACATATAAACTGCGTGAAAAGGACAACAGTGACTTCAAGGAAGAATGGGAACTTTTTACAAATTACTTAAAAAGTCAGCAAAATTATTTGGACTCCTTGGCAGGTTTTGAATAAACACCCACAAATTTATTAGTTGAACACAGGACAGATAAGGCAAGGATATGTACAATTTTATAATATGCAGAGAACAATACAGTGGTACTTCGGGTTAAGTACTTAATTCATTCTGGAAATCCGTTCTTAACCTGAAACTGTTCTTAACCTGAAGCACCACTTTAGCTAATGGAGCCTCCTGCTGCCGCCGCACTGCCGGAGCACGATTTCTGTTCTCATCCTGAAGCAAAGTTCTTAACCCAAAGTAATATTTCTGGGTTGTGGAGTCTGTAACCTGAAGCGAATGTAATCTGAAGTGTATGTAACCTGAGGTACCACTGTATGTGCAAAGAAATCAGAGAGGGGAGCTGAGGGAAGTCTTCGGTGGGGGGGGGGGAAAGGGGGGGAAATAATGTGGTTGATTATGTGGACTGATATTTTGTTATGCTGAAATTGCTTAATAAAAATACTTTTTAAAAAAAACACAACAAAATGACAATGGGCGATGCTCTCCTGCAGGTTAGCCTTCGATATCAGCAGGCTCACGACGAACAAGTAGGTGGAACCATGGCGTCCCAGCACTCTCACCTGTTCGGGGCTTTGCAACAGTTATCGGGTCTGGACAAGCTGTGGGAGAGGCTAAAGTCTGACCTTCCATGTAAGCAGAAGCTGGGCGAGCTGGAAACACGGCAGAAGACGTTGGAGAACATTGTCTCGGTTTTGAGTCGAGAGCTGGGCAGGAGAGAGGAGGCCCCTGCAAATGCCCTCGGAGAAGCCATGGCCAGGATCCTTTACCTGGAGGAGAAGGTAGGAGAAAGTCTCATGCAGACCGCAGCTTGGAAAGACTAGGATTCACTCTCAGGAAACACTGGAGTAGGAACAGGGAGCCTATGGGCCTGCAGATTTTCTTGGGCTATGACTCCCCTGGTCCCTGACTATTGGCTATGCTGGTGCAAACTGGATATCTGGCCATATCTAGAAGGATGCACTTGTCCCCACGACAGACCTTCTGCAATGTTATTTAGCATTTTGTTTTGTTTTGGTTTTTTAAAAATTTATTTAATCATTTTTTCAATACAAACAACAACCGCAAAACCACATACAACAAAAACCACCATCACACTAATAACACAATTTGACATTTCAGATTTGAATACATTGATATACCTATGACTACACCTTTTTAACAATATTTCCCCACCTCTCTCTCTGCCCCCCCCCCCACCTCCCACCACTATCCGCCTTATCGCTTTAATATTCCTTCCGGATTTCTTCATATTTATCCAGTCTTAATTTGCTTCGACATGCAATTCGTTCATATATAGCTAATCTGTCCATATTATCAATCCGTGTGCTCAATGGAATCTTTTTGCGGCTCTTCCAGTTCATCAAAACAAGTTTTTTTGCTTCTAATATAGCACGCTACACCCATTGTTATATAGCATTTGTTGGCATCCATCTGTCTTAGGAGACAATGGAGTGCGTCTACGGGGGTGAAGGCAAGCGGCTGCGTTAGCAAAGTGACCTTTTCGGAACGCAAACCTGGGCAGTGTGAATGGAGGTCCTGGACTGGCCAGATGACAAGTCCCTGCTCTCAGCCTCGCTGATGTGGTCCAAAGGAAAGAAGAGCAAGAGTTTGGGCACCAGCTGGGCTGCAGGAGTTGCCGAAAGGAGGCGTACAAGGCACATATTCAACCACCTTAGGGACTCCACACCAGATTTATGTAGGGTTTATTCCTTAGCATTTATAAGGGCACTACTGGAACACTCAAAGCAGCTCCGCTACATCAGCAGGCTGAGGAGCCTTATCTTCCCATGCCTGGAGGGTCAAATTTGACAGGTGGGTGGGGCTGCCCACCTGTCAATCACCTGTCACTTAGTGGTACCAGGTGACACTGTGCTTTGAAGTCCTTTCGCAAACACTCTTATGCTGCTATTTAAACGTCCGGTTTCCAGAAATTTATAGAGTAGCGCAGGGCTATTATTATTATTACTATTTTGCAAAACACTGGTCCAGATGAAACAATGATATGACTGCATAAGCAGCTTCCTCCATTCCTCCGTTACTGAAGGTATGAATAATTTGATGCAAAAGACTTGGAGGAAGAGCCTTGAGCTCAGTGACAGAGCACAAATTTTGCCCACCACCTCTAGTTAGGGCTAGAGAACTGCTGCCAGTCTGCTGTTTTTGGACTGCAGTTCCCATCATCCCTGACCACTGGTCCTGCTAGCTGGGGATGATGGGAGTTGTAGTCCATAAACAGCTGGAGACCCAAGTTTGGGAAACCCTGGTGTAGACAATACTGAGATGGTCTGAGGCAGCTCCTCTCATGTCCCTATGAGCATTTTTGCTTTATGTTCTGTTCACCTCGCACTCAAGTGGACGGCAGCTTCCTCACAATACTCCGTTCATTTCCTTCCAGGTGCAACAACAAGACTCCCTCTTGACCCTGAAGGATGTGATGATCAGCAACTTAGCATCCCGCCTCCAAGTCTTGGAGCAAACCACGTACGACGGGTGTTTCTTTTGGAAAGTCCCCGAGATGGGACTCAGACTGCAGGAGGTGCAAACAGGAAACAGGCCTGCCCTGTACTCCCCCAGTGAGTTGACCTGAAAGCGCGAGGAGGAAAGAAATGCAAAGGGGGGTTCTGGTTTTGTAAGAACGTTCCCTGTGAAGAGGGGCCAGTTCTTAAACTGTGGTGTAGTGGTTAAGAGCGGTAGACTCGTAATCTGGGGAACTGGGTTCGCTTCCCCGCTCCTCCACATGCAGCTGCTGGGTGACCTTGGGCCGGTCACACTTCTCTGAAGTCTCTCAGCCCCACTCTCCTCACTGAGTGTTTGTTGTGGGGGAGGAAGGGAAAGGAGAATGTTAGCCGCTTTGAGACTCCTTCGGGTAGTGATAAAGCGGGATATCAAATCCAAATTCCTCTTCTTAAACCACTCTGGGAATTGTATCTCTGGGAGGAGAATAGGGGTTCCCAACAACACCCAGGACCCTTAACAAACTACAACTCCCAGAATCCTATGGGGGAAGCCATGACTGTGGTGTGAACATGGTCTTGATGTTAATAATAATAATAATAATAATAATAATAATAATAATAAAATTTTATTTATATCTCGCCCTCCCCAGCCGAAGCTGGGCTCAGAGCGGCTAACAACAGTAAAATAATACAACATTCTCAAATACAACTTGGGAGATGCAAGGAAGGGATGTGAGTCAGCACCAGTGGTGCCTCTCCATCTCCAGCCCAGCTTGGGACGAACCAAGTTTATCCACTTGGGTACCGTAACCCTGTCAGTTTGCAATTCTTAGTGCAGAAAGTATTGATCTGATGTGTAGAGATCTTTCCTATTCTACTTAATTCAAGAGGGTTCTGGAAGCTTCTCTGTGTGAAAGAAACAAGCCGAAGGCTCGTGATGTTTGAGTTATTATTTCAGAGAAGCTGAGTACAGCTGGCTTAAACTGGTTCTCTTATCTCTTTCAATAAAGGTCATGCTGACTATAAAAATAGACCAGAAGGAGCCTGGGTTTCACTTTCTCTTTCTCTCTCTCTTCCTTCTGGTGCATAGCATGCTTAGTGTTAAGGTTTAGACCTATTATAAGTTACTGTAAGTTTAAGTTAAGTCTGCTGCAACTGGATTTCTTATGGGCAGTGCCAGTCCTGAACGATTTCTGTTCTCATCCTGAAGCAAAGTTCTTAACCTGAAGCACTATTTCTGGGTTAGCGGAGTCTGTAACCTGAAGCGTATGTAACCTGAAACATATGTAACCTGAAGCGTATGTAACCCGAGGTACCACTGTAATTGCCTCTGGTCTACAGTCATACCTCGGGTTGAAGTTGCTTCAGGTTGAGCGTTTCTGGTTGCGCTCCATGGCGACCCGGAAGTAACGGAACGCATTACTTCTGGGTTTCGCCGCTCACATATGCGCAGATGCTCAAAATGATGTCACGTGCATGCACAGAAGCGGCAAATCACGACCCGCGCATGCAGACGCGCAGACACGGGTTGCGTTTGCTTCAGGATGCGAACGGTACTCCGGAACGGATCCCGTTCGCATCCAGAGGTACCACTGTATTTGGGGGGAACCCTGCAACGTGTTTCAGTTTTTACTCTGCCAACGATACGCATTGGAATTTGCTCTGGATCAATATTGAGTAGACTTTCAATGACAGACCCATCTTTTTGATGCCACCTGTTTCCTTCCCTTTTGCCCCCAAAGCGTTTTACACCAGTCGCTACGGTTACAAACTCTGCCTCAAGCTGTTCCTGAACGGAGACGGGGCAGGAGCAGGCAGCCACCTCTCGCTTTTCCTCGTTCTGATGAGAGGAGAACATGACTTCCATCTCAAGTGGCCTTTCCGGCACAAGGTACGAGGGCTTTTGTGCTTGGGGTATAAAGGTAAAGTAAAGGGACCCCTGACCATTAGGTCCAGTCGTGACCGACTTTGGGGTTGCGGCCTCGCTTTACTGGCCGAGGGAGCCGGCGTACAGCTTCTGGGTCATGTGGCCAGCATGACTAAGCCACTTCTGGCGAACCAGAGCAGCGCACGGAAACACCGTTTACCTTCCCGCCTATTTATCTACTTCCACTTTGAGGTGCTTTCGAACTGCTAGGTTGGCAGGAGCAGGGACCGAGCAACGGGAGCTCACCCCGTTGCGGAGATTCGAACCACCGACCTTCTGATCGGCAAGTCCTAGGCTCTGTGGTTTAACCCACAGAGCCACATGGTCCCACTAGGGGTATAGGAGAGTCGAATAAGAACCATAAGGCAGTGGTGTGGAGCCTGTAACCTTCCAAGCATTGCTAGACTCCAGTTCCCATCATCCCTGACTAGCTGGAGCTGAGGGGAGTTGCTATAACAAAACTAAACAAAACAAATACGGTACCCTATGGAAAAAAGCGTATTCAAAATTTCCTGCTCTCTGCTGCCATCTGGTGTTGCATATTTGTAGCACATCAAATCATTGTTTCTTTTCTAATGTTGATGCGTTTTTAGAGCAGGATCTGAAATCTTTTCCTTGAAGCTGGATTTGGTTTTATTCTGGATTGTTCCACTTGATGTTTCAATGTTTTTGCAAACCGCTTTGAGATTCCCCCCCCAAAAAAATATAAAGCAGTATGATAATAATAATAATAAAAACTCCATGGAAGACGGTGCCTAGACATGCCGTTGTGGTTTAAGGTTCCATTTGACAATGAGCTCATATATATCTAACACTGCCAACGACGTATGAAAGGCCACTCGGAAGCTGTGATGGTTACAATTGATTTGAGATTTGCAATTGAGAGACATGCCTTCTTTTGCCCTCTTCCCCCCCCCCCCAGGTCACCTTCACTCTCCTAGATCAAGTCAACAAGCGGCACATCTCCACCTCCTTCCGCCCCTTGGAGACCTCGTCCTCCTTCCAGCGCCCCATGAGCGAAGCCAACGTGGCCAGCGGCCTGCCCGAATTCTGCCCCTTGAACTTGCTCCACGCCCCGGGGGCTACCTATATCCATAACGACACATTAGCCATTCAAGCTGTGATAGACACAAAGGCTTAGACTTCAGGCGACGTTCGCCCTTCCTACCATATATGGCTGCTGCTCTGAGAGGCCGAGGTGGCAAGTTTCCAAAGGGAACTCTGCCCAAAGGGACCCTTTGCTGCATTCTCCACAGTCTCTTCTCAAACGGGGTGCGACTGGAAAAAGAAAAAAAAAAGGAAACCTTTGGAAGCTTCCCTTGTCCCCCCAAAACGCTAGCAAGACAGGGCAGCGAGCGCTCTGTGCTATCCGAAGAAGTAAATTCAGCACCCAAAACATGGCAGGTTCTATAAACTTAGTAATTTATTCCAAGAGCTGTGTAGTGCTTTCGTGCAAAATCCAGGATGTTACGGCACAGTTGAAAGGTGTGAACTTAAAGAGTTTCTGCCTTAATTCTAGTATCTCAACAGGTAAAGCTTCCCCCCTCCCTGTGGCACCATGCCAAGACTGCACCTGTTGGTTTTCTGCCTGCTGTACCTGAAACCAGCGACCCACCAAGCTGGTGTTGTGCCCTGCCGGTGGTATGATAGGCCTTCAATGTTGTTGTTCTCTTCTCCCTTGCCTTCTTAGGACTGCAAGGTCAGGGTGGTTGTCAAGTTACCCGAAAAGACCACAATACACGATGGTCTCCTTGGATGCGCAGCGTAGCACCATCAGTCTTGTTTGTAGGCGCCCAGAACTTTTGGCCATTAAAGTATTGAGATATGAGGTCTACTTCCCTTGTTTTATGGTGGGTAGGATTTGTGCTTTTTATAAGTATGGATGGGTGAGCATTTGTAGGGTTTTTTTTGTTTTCGTTTTCCCAACTGGCTTTGATGCGTTTCGCCGTTATTTGTATCTAAATTCGTAATTGCTCTGGAACCTAAATTCGTAATTGCTCTGGAACACATTTGTGTGACAGGCAATGGGATAATGATCATAATAATGATCACAAAGACTGTAAAAGATGTGCTGCAGTCATGACACGCTAAGAACAGGCCCCAACGCTTAGACTTGATTTCATCGGAACTGAGTGAAGATGGCGGCTGCCAGCCGCGAAAAGACCTTTGGATTGATGCGGCAGAAACACCAGCGTGTGAGGAGATGCTGCGAACTTATAGAATGTAGCGTTCCCAAAGCAAGGAAGGATTGGGCTCTGATTAATAAAATACACACGAGGCTTGACCAGCAAGACTCTGGGAGGAGTGCGTATAATAATACTAATTCTCTCCCACCCTCGTTTTATTCACAAAAGAACTTGTTACAGAGTGTTCGTAAGAACCGATCAGATTTCCTCTGAGCATTTCAAAAAAACACACGTGGGGACAAAGTTAAAAGTTAAAACTACAAAGAGCTAATCTGAGCATGCATAGTAGTCCAGAGTAAATAAAATACCGTAATTTTCGCTCTATACCGTAATTTTCGCTCTATAACACACAGATTTTTTCTCCTAAAAAGTAAGGGGAAATGTCTATGCGTGTTATTGAGCGAATGTGTGGTCCCTGGAGCTGACTCACCGGAGCGCAGGGGCAAAAATAGGCAAAAATCAGGTAAAAATAAGATTGGGTGGGCGGGCGGAGGGAAGGCGGAAGCTGCTGCTTTCCTGCATTCTGCCTCGGGGTCTTACTGCCCACCCGCTTCTGTTGCTGCCTTTGCTCAAACTCAACAAAGAGCAGGGAATCCCCTGCCCTCCTGGCAAGCAGAGGGTTAAGGAAAGGATCGAGTCCTTCCTTCTAATTCTTTCCTAGTCACACTGCCCGCCTGCCACCTCCTCCTCTCCGTGCTCTAGGGACTCGCAGGCAGCCAAAAAACATGCAGGTGGGAGAGAGAGAGAGTGGGCTGGCTTGGGGGGGGACTTTTGCCTTCCTTTCCCCCCACCCCCGTTAAACCCCTCCCCTGCATTCTTAGCCAGCTGCTTCTCCGCACACCCCTCTTGTGCTCCTTGTCCCTTCTGTGTTTTTCCTTCCCTCCCCATTTAAAACGTGGTGAGAAAGCACGGATCCACATGGATCCTCAGGATTTTTGCATTGGGTCACCCCAAATTCACCATCAGATCACATAGCATGTCCATGGCTATATCTTGCACCAAAAAAATCACGCACCCACTGTTGCCTAGGGTCGCAGTGGTGCAAAAACGTGGTTACAAAGCATGGATCCACATGGATCCTCAGGATGTTTGCATTGGGCTACTCCAAACTCACTGTCAGATCACATGTCTGTGGCCACAGCATGAACCACAAAAATCATACATCCACTGTTTCATTTAGAATATTTTTTTCTTGTTTTCCTCCTCTAAAAACTATGTGCGTGTTATGGTCTGGTGCATGTTATAGAGCGAAAAATAGGAAGCAAGGAGGAATGCTTTTAGGAAACCTTGAAGGTCATAAACAGGAGAGGCAGGATGGCAGTATTTAACATCTCTTCGTGAACTCTCTTCCTGGCCCTGAATAACAATAGCTACATCAAAGAAGCTACCTACTATCTTTATGACCCAGGATGCCTGATGAACAACCAGTCTGTGTTTAGAATGCTTATACGTGCCTGTCAGGCATAGAGAAATCAAATGGCAGAGATGGAGAGGCTTGTGGGATTTGATCAGAAATTATTGTCAATGAATATGTATTCAAGTCTCCAGGGCCAGATGAACTGCATCCAAGAGTATTAAAAGAACTGGCAGATGTGATTTCAGAACCACTGGCAGTCATCTTTGAGAATTCCTGGAGAACAGGCGAAGTCCCGGCAGACTGGAGGAGGGCAAATGTTGTCCCTATTTTCAAAAAGGGGAAAAGAGAGGACCCAAATAATTACCGCCCAGTCAGTCTGACATCAATACCAGGGAAGATTCTGGAGCAGATCATTAAGCAAACAGTCTGTGAGCACCTAGAAAGGAATGCTGTGATCACCAATAGTCAGCATGGATTTCTGAAAAATAAGTCATGTCAGACTAACCTGATCTCGTTTTTTGACAGAATTACAAGCCTGGTAGATGAAGGGAACGCAGTGGATGTAGTCTACCTTGATTTCAGCAAGGCATTTGACAAGGTGCCCCATGATATTCTTGTAAAGAAGCTGGTAAAATGCGGTCTTGACTATGCTACCACTCAGTGGATTTGTAACTGGCTGACTGACCGAACCCAAAGGGTGCTCATCAATGGTTCCTCTTCATCCTGGAGAAGAGTGACTAGTGGGGTGCCACAGGGTTCTGTCTTGGGCCCGGTCTTATTCAACATCTTTATCAACGACTTGGATGATGGACTCAAGGGCATCCTGATCAAATTTGCAGATGACACCAAACTGGGAGGGGTGGCTAACACCCCAGAGGACAGGATCACACTTCAAAACGACCTTGGCAGATTAGAGAACTGGGCCAAAACAAACAAGATGAATTTTAACAGGGAGAAATGTAAAGTATTGCACTTGGGCAAAAAAAATGAGAGGCACAAATACAAGATGGGTGACACCTGGCTTGAGAGCAGTACATGTGAAAAGGATCTAGGAGTCTTGGTTGACCACAAACTTGACATGAGCCAACAGTGTGACGCGGCAGCTAAAAAAGCCAATGCAATTCTGGGCCTCATCAATAGGAGTATAGCATCTAGATCAAGGGAAGTAATAGTGCCACTGTATTCTGCTCTGGTCAGACCTCACCTGGAGTACTGTGTCCAGTTCTGGGCACCACAGTTCAAGAAGGACACTGACAAACTGGAACGTGTCCAGAGGAGGGCAACCAAAATGGTCAAAGGCCTGGAAATGATGCCTTATGAGGAACGGCTAAGGGAGCTGGGCATGTTTAGCCTGGAGAAGAGGAGGTTAAGGGGTGATATGATAGCCATGTTCAAATATATAAAAGGATGTCACATAGAGGAGGGAGAAAGGCTGTTTTCTGCTGCTCCAGAGAAGCGGACACGGAGCAATGGATCCAAACTACAAGAAAGAAGATTCCACCTAAACATTAGGAAGAACTTCCTGACAGTAAGAGCTGTTCGACAGTGGAATTTGCTGCCAAGGAGTGTGGTGGAGTCTCCTTCTTTGGAGGTCTTTAAGCAGAGGCTTGACAACCATATGTCAGGAGTGCTCTGATGGTGTTTCCTGCTTGGCAGGGGGTTGGATTCGATGGCCCTTGTGGTCTCTTCCAACTCTATGATTCTATGATTCTATGATTCTATGAATCAAACCCAGTCAATGCAATGCTTTCAGTGCGGACACAATGGCTTGATGCATATTTTATAATTCCTTATAGTAATCCCATCTGATCACTGCTATAGAGGGGAATCATAGACATAAAACCCACACAGAAACACATCATTGCTTGTTTTAACTTGCTTGTGGGGACAACTCAGAGACTGTGAAAGAAGGAAGGTTAACAACAGAAAGAATTAGAGGAACCATCAGAAGTGACTATGAAAAGCAGTAGAAGTATGAGATGATGAGAACCCTCCAAACTTGAAGCATGCGAAGTCCTATTAAAAAAATTATAATTTGGCAGAATATTCGGATTATTTGATATATATATGTATAATTTGGAATATTTAATGTGATTGGATTGGATTGTTAAAGTGGAAAATTTAATAAAAATGAATTAAAAAAAAAAAGAACAGGCCCCAACTCCTTTTCCGGCAGGAACCTTTGTAAAGAGGAACTGAAATTACTGTTTTTCATTACTGTTTTTGATCTTTTCCCTTCCAATAGCCATATCAAGCTGATGTACAGTGGTACCTCGGGTTAAGAACTTAATTTGTTCCGGAGGTCCATTCTTAACCTGAAACTGTTCATAACCTGAAGCACCGCTTTAGCTAATGGGGCCTCCAGCTGCCGTAGCGCGATTTCTGTTCTCATCCTGAAGCAAAGTTCTTAACCCAAGGTACTATTTCTGGGTTAGCAGAGTCTGTAACCTGAAGCGTCTGTAACCTGAAGTGTCTGTAACCCGAGGTACCACTGTACATTGAAGATGTACAACGCAGAAACAGCAGGGCTTTTCCCCCAGCCGGAACTCAATTCCGGCACCTCTCAGGTGGTCGCCATTGGCATTATAAGAGAACAAGGGAGTTGTTCATGGTGAATCCTGGCACCTCTTTTTCCTATAAAAATAGCAATATACACACATAGCTGAAACCATGCAACATAGACACTTGTGGTAAAGACCCAGTTATCTGTCTGGGGAAGTCTGTCACAACAGAACTGTCTTTGGGTGTTTCCAGAATTTGGGCATCTGTTGTATCTCAACAGGAATGCTATTCTGCAGAGCAAGGGCAACCAGATGGCTGTTAGTGGAAATAGGTTGCCAACCACATTGGTGCGCACACACACACACACACACCTCTCAAGTGGATGAACCTATAATAACAACACAACGCAAAGGGTTACCACTTCCTTTCACATGCCCCCTTCCATTGTTATAGGGTCCAAAAATCAAGATTGTTACAAGGTGACACCTGGAATAGGATGTGATTATCATCCCTCCCCCGCAAAGGATATTATTATTAATATTCTTATTCTTATTATTAAATTTATATACCGCCCTATACCCTGAGGTCTCAGGGCGGTTCAGAAAAGAAGATCACAATATCTAAAATAAAAATAAAAACAATAACCCAATAATACCCTCCCAAAGAGAGCCACATTTTAAAAGGGTATAGGATGTTGGTCAGGTCAGCCAAAGGCCTGGTTTTATAAGAAACCAGAGGCCTTCCTCCTGGGCATTGTTGACCAAAAGGTGTTAAAGAAGGACAGAACCTTTTTCATGTATGCAACTACAGCAGCAAGAATACTCATTGCAAAATACTGGAAGATACAAGATCTTCCCACACTGGAAGAGTGGCAGACGCAATTGATGGATTATATGGAACTGGCTGAAATGACTGGCAGAATCCGAG